GGTACCCCAAGTTCTTAATTCAAAAGCTATAAGTTAATATCTTTTGGTTATAAAGGTGTCTCTCTATTTTGGTGACGTTGGCTTTATCTTCTTGTAGTAAGGGGCCGTCACTTGGTGTGATGGTAAAAGGCTCAGTAGCTAGCGTAAAAGCACGGGTTCGAGTCTTGAGAACAGCCACTTTGTGCATAAAAAGTCAACGGTTAGGACCGTTTCCATTTCACCCCTCCCTGCCCTGCGTAGGTGGGACCAGCACTGGGCTACGACCCATTTTTTTTGGCTTTATCTTCTTGTAGTGAAGGAGGAGAGAGAGTTGCAAGTTAGCAAAACACTTGGGTTTTCTCTTCCATACTTGTGCATTCTGATTGTCTGTCTTCAAACTTATGATATTTTGTTTTGCTATCTTTATAGATGATTATTTTTGATATCAAGAGTTTGACTCTTGGACTTGCGATCGCTTGAACCTCGGGCAGTAGGCTTGACTTGGAAGCCTTGTTCAAATTATTGAAAATATTTTAAATCTTTTTAAAAATGGTAAAAGTAAATTTGAAACACTAAGCGAAAAAATGAATTTAGAGAAAAAGAATCGTGAGATAAGAGTTTTAGGCTCCCACTTGGATTAGTCAGTTTTTACTTGGCATGCCTAAATTTTTACCAAGTTTTGACGAGTCTCATATATTTACATTAACGCGCCGCGCTAGGCTAGCCCTTGCTTCTTGCTTTTGAGCTGTAGTTTGCTGGCTTTTTTGCCCTTGCGAGGCAAAAGTTTGAGAGTGCTTTGGTTCACTGAACATAGTTGCTATTGTTGAAGAGGGATTTTTGCTCTTGCGAAGCACTTACTCGTTTTATTAAAATTGAATTCATGATTCAAAAACTTCATGCATTCATCTACATGAAGTTGTATGCATATACCCAATACAGATCAACAATTAAAAGGCCTTCCTCATGATCAAAGTTAACTAGAAGTTTCCAACTCCCCAATCAATATAATGTAAAGAGAGTTACAACTCAGAACAACTTGAGCCAAGGGAAATATCATATATTTACTAAATCAAGAACTAGGGGTCCAAGAGTCTAAGCATTCCCTCCCCTCCCCCAAATAATAAGTTAGTTTTGTGTTAACAAGAACTTGTACGAACTTAATTGTAGAGGTAATGTTTTTTCAAGGAAAGGTATTGTGATTGAATTCCCCCAGCTGCATAGAATTTTTGGTGTTTAAATAAATTAAGATAACATTTAAAATTCTATGTTGTAGGTTTGGAAAGCGTGGGGTTCGAACTCACAACCTTAGCACTAGGAAAGCAATCTCTACCACTGTAGCACTTCCTTTAAATTGTTAATGAAGTACAAAATAAGACACTTTAGTATAAAATGTCGATGTTGTATTAAAACTTAGTACAAAATAAGACACTTTAGTATAAAGTGTCGATGTTGTATTAAAACTTAGTGACATCACCTGACATATATGGTCATGTGTTGGACTGTGCCTATTTATGTTGGCACTTGTCTACGTGTCAGTACGTGCTGGCATGCGACACCAACCCCCATGTGGAGTGTCAGGGTAACATTAGTTCAAGGTGGTGGGTGCCACAATATGATATCTTGAGTTTCATGTCCACAAGATCCCATGTTAACAATCTTTTTTTAAAAAAAAAGAAAAAGAAAAGAAAAAGAAAAGAAAAAGAGAAAGTCAAAGTTGACTCGGAACTCTGTAGAATGACTTAGTGAGTTTAGTTGTAGTCAAAAGTGACTTAAGAAAACATGTAAGAAAAATCTTTATAGTTGTAATTTACATTACTAAAAATGTGTGTCTAAAAAACTAGTAATTGTGGCAGTGGTCTAGGCCAGGCTGGCTTGAGACCTGGCCTGGGACCTTAGGGGCCTAGCCCCGGCCTGGAGTGGGCCAAAGGTCCCTGGCCCAGGCCCGACCTTACTCTTGGGTCTGGTGGCCTGACCCAACCTTGTTAATGGTCTGGGTAGAGCATGGCCAAGAAGAAATCAAGCTCTTTAAAATAATAATAATAATAATAATGAAACAGAATGGATCAGGTTGGGCCCTGACCCCTAGGCCAACCGAGCTCTGTTCGGTCGTTGAACCTATTTTCGGGCCTTTGACCGGCTCTCCAGCCAAATTTAGTGGCCTAGGCAAGGGTTATTTAGGGTGGGGCCATCTGGCACATTGGCACCCTTAAGATCTAGCGCCTATTGAATTTGTATAATGACATGTATTATTTTGTCTATTATGTTTTATGGAATTCTTACTTTGTAATTTTGTATGTGTATGTGTGAGTGTGAGTGTAGCATGTTATATGACATTTGATACTAGCTCCAATTGTTAATGTTTTAATAATTATGTAAGTTCAAATCCATTTAATTCTCTTACTATTTGTAAATTTGAATCCATGTACATCTGTGGACTACGCATGAACTCTTTTAAGTATGAAGTTAGAGAAGTATTTACGGAAAAAGATTCTATAAGCCGACGGGCTTATGCTACAGTATGATCCATTTGGCTAAAACGCATAGCTAAAGGGTTTCTTTTTGGCTTGAATTTTGGCACATCTTTAATTAAAAAAACAAACAAAAGAAAATGATTTTCTTGAAATTCCATTGTCCATCAAATGGATTGCCTACGTTCACTGAAAATGGCGGACTGATTTTCTCCCATTTTTTTTGTGCAACGTTTTTTCTTTGTTTATTTTATATGATTTCCTCGATGAGATGAGCATGTGCAAGATTTGGGCCCCCAAAACCTTTCTAGCTCCAACGGGGTATGCGGCAGTATAAGCTCATTGACTTATGAGATCTTTTTCCTTTAAAGAGTCATCAACTTGTTCTCCTGCAACCAAGTACAAACTTTTCAGAATCACCTTGTCAAGCTTAGTCTTTAATGCGTTGGTTATGTTCCTGCTGTTGTTGCCCCTTGTTGGTCATAATTCTTTAATTTTCCCATCCGTGCGATTGCTATCCTGTCAAAGTCTCACAGGGGATATTTCTGTATTTTTGTTTTTATTTATGCCCATATCTTCTACATATGAATTCACTCATTTCGGCACATGCATAATTGAACTTGTGTCCAAAGGCATGGCTGCCATAGCCCCTAATGAAATATATAGTTGCTTTCTTGATGCTGCTCTTTTTTCATTGGTTTCATATTTCTAGTGCAAATTTTGGTTCCTTTGCTTCTAATAATATTAGCGTGGAGACATAATTGGCTATGTTACCTGTCACCACTTGTGCTGCTCTGATTTCCCCACCTCTATAATGCTATTCCTATACAGAAAACTGTATTTGCATCTCTAATCCTATGACACTCATTATGAAACTCATTTCATTAGCTCTAACAAATAAATTTCTTGAAAAATAAACTAAAAGATTAATTGATGTTTGTCCTCACATGTCACTCTGACCATATCATTTTACAATGAGTGATGTGTTGGCCCAAGATGCCCTGCATTCCCTCAGTAATAGATCCTTTTGCATCAAAACTCACATCTGTGATTCTGAACCTTACAACGAAACCTCATTATGGAAACTAGTTCCAGATTTGGTCCCATTTAAATAGCTCACCATAAAAAAATAGCTCACCATAAAAAAAATAATGGTCTCCCCTCATATGATATTTGGACTGGCTCATTGCCAGTTTCTTTCTTGCCTGAACCGAGTTAGCTTGTGGCCACTTTAACAGGGGGCTTTTGTCAGGCTCCCCACGTTATAATCTTGACCTTGGAAAAAGAAAATTGTTTTTTGAGGCACACTGGTTGAGGACCAGTTTGGATGCCACTTTGAAATGCACTTTGATGTTCAGCATGGGATGTCCTTGGGTGTCTATTCTAAAAGTAATGTTTGAACTGGTACGTTCGTTAAAAATGGCCCTCTTTAAAAGTGGAATGAAAACTGGTAGTACTTCCTTTTATCCTGCAAGAAAATAAAGTAGGTTTTGCATGTGCATGGGCCATTTATTTGCACACAAACATTCTGCTTCCAAACTGCCCTAAAGTGATACCTTTCTCCTAACGCCATCCTGTTCTTTTATTGAAATTTCGTACTCTTTAAGAAATTCCCTGCTCATTTCTGGTCCATTTTCCTTGGAAAGAACCACTTGGATGATCTGCATATCATTCATGACTTTCACGTCTAGTGGTGCTAATGAGCGAAATTATTACTTCCAGGAAACTCTTCAAACTGGATATTCATTTCTTATTTTATGTACTCGTTTTTCTGTCTACTATCCATCTTCAGTCTTATTATGATCTAATTTTAAATTTTCTTGCTTGTATTTCTCTTTCCATCATTCAATGCTGTAATTTTCAAGTTTGCATGCGACCTCCTCTGCAGTGGTGAAAAGTCTCTTTACGTGTTGTCGTGTTGGTTCAGTTCCCTTATCCATGTTTCTGACCATAGTTTTTTATGTAGCACATGAATATTTGTTCTTCCCACCGTTCAATTTCTATCGTCTATGCGTTTCCAAGCATTTCCTACTTTTCAAATTTTTAATGGTGTGTTTGCTGAGCAAAAAAATAAGCTGTCTTCCATTTCCTATCTAGCGATTTCTGCCATTACAATTGGATTGCAATTAGCTCGGAGCTAATTCCATGTCACATGCAACAACTCGAAATTCTGAAGGGACAAACAGATAGAAGGGGAAAGCTGCAGGCTTGGGTGGGGGGTTGTTGTTGTTGTTGGTGGTGGTTTGGTGGTTTTTTTCCTTCCTTTTTTTTTTTGGATGGGGGCCATTGATTTTTGGCTAGCATTGACTATGGGCGTCTCCATCACTACTTTGCATGTAAATCGTGTTACATTGAGTAATCCACATGGCCAGTAGTGAATCAGGTTTAATTCATTGTGCATATGCTATCTTATTTTCTCTGTTTTTGGAGGCCATTAAGTTATTTTATCTTGTCTTCCTATACCCTGCTATGTCAATTCATGCAATTACGTTTAAGAAATAAAATTTTCTTGTTTATAATAATCTAATTTCTATGAGTAATTTTTCTCTACAGGAAATCAGGGAAGGAGAATGTATTCAAGTGCACATATGTGCTTCCTGATGGTGTAACTTATACCAAGGGCTTTGTTAAAGACATCGAAGAAGCTCAGAGATACCTCACTCTAGATGATGGAATTTCAGCAGTTCAATCAGAAGTAGTTGAGGAAGACTGCGAAAGTCTATCTAGTGATGAGGAGACTCCAGAAGATAGGACAAGAATAGATCTGACAAAAAATGAGGTATTTTCTGTTTCCAAAGGATATTTTCTGTTCTTTTGCGGTGGTAATGTAATTGTTTAACTGCATTTAACTGTTTTGCAGGAATTAAAACTCACTAACGAACGGTTCCTTGTCCCTGAGATGCTTTTCCATCCATCTGATTTGGGTTTGTATAAGCAATAAACTTTGGTTTTAGTGATCGGGACCTTTCTTATTGCTATTGAACAAGCCATCTTTTTCTTATTTGCCCATTTTTTCTTTTGTTCCAGGTCTTTATGGGTTTCTTTTGATTTCAAACAATAAGCTTTAGGTTTGATCATCTTTGAATGTTTTTTTCACAATCCTTAACTCCCTTGTACCCAATCTAAGGTGATCACAGTCAGCTTGGTCAAACTGAAGGACATTCGTAATATTTGAAAGCACTATTGTGATAATTTATTTCTACAGGGATAAATGAGGCTGGACTCGCAGAGTGCATAGTCCGAGCTGTTCAATCATGCCATCCTTATCTTCACCCAGTCCTCTATGAGAGGTACTCGTTTTTTTTGTCGATCTATCATTTCTTTATAGATCATCAAGTTGGTATTAAATTGTTGCTTATTTCTGCAGCATCATTTTAACGGGTGGAAGCACATTATTTCCTCATTTTGTAGAAAGACTGTACGATCTCTCTCTCTCTCTCTCTCTCTCTCTTTCTCTCTCTCACACACACACACACACACACATTCATATTAGATTGTAATGGCTCTTGGTTTTGCTTCAGAGAGAGGGAGCTACGTCCTCTTGTGCCTGATGATTTCAGACTGAAGATAACCCACCAAGAGGAGTATATATACTTTCCCTCCTATTTTCATTTATGCTTTAGAGCATTTTATGGCATTTTGCACGTAACATGATGATCCTTTTTGTTTCTTCAGTCCAATATTAGGTGTTTGGAGAGGGGGTTCACTGTTAGCTTCTAGCCCTGATTTTGAAGCAATGTGTGTGACAAAGCATGACTATGAGGAACTTGGATCCACTCGTTGTCGTCGCCGTTTTATGCACTGAATTTCAGTGAATCATGACCGCTATTCTCCATGGGATTGTTGTATTTCTATTTGGATACCAGCTAAGGTCCTTACGTCTGATTGTTTTATTGTAAGATTATATGCTTAAGGTTTTTGTTGGGGATCACTGCACCCTGTTTGTACTATTGAAGTCAAAATCATGTACTGATCCTATGTTATGCCCTTTTTGTCCTGGTCTTGGAGGTGAGAGTTCCATATGACGCCCGATGAGAGAACTAACCAAATGTTAGCATTTAGCATAGTATTGGAGCTAAGCTCAGATTTTGTAGCATGCAATTGTACTGTGCATAATGCATGAACATACAGTAGTATATGCGCTGTACATTTTGTATATAACTAAGCTTGGAATTTGAACTTGTACGACCTAAATGTAAAGGCATATGTTCGATAGAATTTTCTAAATTATAAGAAATATTCTAATACTTAAATATTTCTATTTATTAAATATTGTGACACGAAGTTGTAGCTTGGGGGCTCTCCCTGTCATGGTGAACTGCACATTCATTTTGCCAATACAATCTCCTTTTCTTCGAAAACTTGCTTAAGATGTCACAGCCAGCGATCCTTGTCATTCACCCACTGAATAGCATTGGAAGAGATCCCTCCTATCAAAAGACCAAAAAAATAAATAAGGGGAGTCACTCTTCATGTGAAAAAATAGGAAAGAATGTAGAATACTGTAGCAGACAGCTTGCAAGTCATAAACTGATCAAGTTAAAACTTTTCATGTTCCATAATTTTATCAATTATCTATAAGTACATGCTTCAAAAACAATAGGAACTTCCATTATTTTGCAGCTATCAGAATTGAGAGTGAGCAAGAACGTGAATTATTGTCATGATTTTCATGGAAACTTTATCCTTGCCACATTCTTGGAATGTTTCGGGCTTGACCATGACAAATGTCATATAAAATCGGAAAAGTATTTGGTGAGTAGAGTGGCTCAGGTGTCCACCCTAGTTTTGAGGGACTTAAGACCTAATACACTGCTTAAAAATCACTATAAATCTAGCTCTGCATCAGATCCATGAATTCTGGAGATCAAAGAACAATGTAGATCTGATTTGAAAAACTAAAATAAACAATCCACAAAAAAAGTGCAAAATAAACTATTTTAATAATTAATGTTTTTTCCAGATTCATGATTATGGTGATCGAGATGATAAACCTGCAAAATATTGGATCCAAAGTCCATCTCCAAGATGGATTTGGGGCGGGGGGACTCACCATATGCATCCCTAGACACACCTAAACCCTAAGCTTTAACCTGCCACTATCAAGTACTTCCATAAATGTCAGTTAACTGTTCATTGTGATCTTAATTATCATATACTCCTGTAGATGTCACTCAACCATCACTTATGTTCCTACTTTTAGCAAATTCATATGTGCCATCATAGTGTTGTAGCACCATCACATGCAAATAATTATAGCGAATATCATTAGACATTCTTGGCCTTGCCCACTAATTTGGATTGTCCTTGCTGAGCCACCATATAATTGGGCCAATTCCTTTGCCTCTTTGTAGGCTCATTTGCAAGTGAAAATAACCAAAATCTACATGAGCAAAGAAACCAAATGTTTACCATGGTCCTGCAACTACGTGAACTATCTACAAAATCTCAAGTTATCTTTTTGTTTGTTCTTAAAATTTTTGTGTGGGTGTTAACATACCTAATAGGGATTGTCTGTGAGGAGACTATTTATCTTTTGTATATAGAGGTTATAATCATTCATGTTCCTTAAATTTCAAAATGGGTGGTTGTAAGACTATCATTGGATAGACTCAAAGTTCTGAAAAAAAATTTCTCGGACTTTGTGACTCACCCCAAGCCATCCAATTTGACATCTAATGAGTGTGAACTCCATGTACAAAAGATAAATGATCTCTTTGTGATAATCCCTTTTGTAAATGTACTTTTCATCTTAGTGACAATTATTGCTATGGGATATTATCAGTATGATGTTTTAATGAGGAGTTATTGTATTTGGCATAGTTATCAGATAACTAATGGGAGTTTAATAAATTAATATATTAATTATTATAGAAATTTCTTATTAAGATTAGTACATATGCATTGAAATATACACAATTAAAATATATAAATATATTGAGCATTTCATTAATGTTGAAGTTGACATATTCTAGGGTATAACAAAATCAAAATGTCAAAATCACTATCCATCTTAATAGCTTTAGCTTACATATGCATTATCAATTCCTTGTAAAGTTGCTCCCCATTTGTCTAGGGCGGGCCCTCAAAAAAAAGGGCGATGGCACAAAATGTGGCCCGAGGGGCAGGCCAGCACTAGACCACCTCAACCCGATGAAAGGGCCTGATCGGGCTTGGCTCAGGTCCACGACAGACCCTCTTGGTTCGGTCTGGTCTTGCCAAGCTCGACTCTTTTTTCTTTTTTGTTTTTTTTTTGTTTATTTATTTATTTTTATTTTACTTAGCTCGGCCCAGTGCTGCTCTGATAGGACCAGAGCCTCTTCAGTCTTGTCAGGGTAGGGTCAGGCTCAAGCCAACCCTATACTAGGGCTTCGCTAGGGCTATGGCTGGCCCAATCCTAGCTTGGGCTGTTCCCACCTCTACATTTGCCATAGAGACGTAATGTTTTTCAAAATCAAGTTACTAATTTTGCTTTCAGATGATATACATAATTTCAAAGGGAAAGTCTTTTATCAGGATAACATTCGGTAGTCTAAACACAAAAAATTGACTTTTACAGAGGTATTCTCAAAGTTATAATCGGCATTAGACTTTATTGTGATAAAAGAAGAGATTGTCTACAAAATACCATTTTTCTTTTATACATGGAGGTCACAATCACTATTGTCCCTTAAATTTCAAATGGGTGGTTGTAAGAGTGTCATGCAATAAACACAGTTTCAAAATAAAATTCTTGGACTTCACGACTCATGGAGTGACTGTTACCTCCATATACAAAAACTAAAATCCCTAAAATAAAGACAAAATGATTTGTCAGATATTATTCTCAGTCAGATATTATTGTAACTAAGCTTTTCACATATTTCTCTATTTCATGTTAGAAAAATGAAACCAGGGTAGGGATCAGCTGGGGCACACTTTTCTCATCATGATTATTGGATTGCTTTAGTTTGTACTCACTATGCTTTGCAAGAAAGTGGGTAGTAGAGTTGCTCTTTCAGGGTCATGTGTTCTAGCTCTATATATTATGCAGCTTCACCAAACAACAAGGGTTGTATTTTAGCAATCAAACAAAGAGAGGAAAGAGTGGCACCCCACTGTGTTATCATGGAGCAGCACTCTGCCCACCATTGGATTGATTGTGTTCACCCAAATGATTGATCCAACGATGGGCAAGACTCTACTCCACATTATGGTGGGGTGCCACCACCACCTGATCTTTCATGCTTTGTAGTTTGCATTCTTTTTTTCTTTTTCTTTTTTTTGACAAGGTTAAAAACTTCTATTGACAAGAGTGCTGAAAAAGATGGTTTGCAGTTTGTGTTGACCATGCCTTAGGCCCTGTAGTGCACATGCATTGCCCAGAATCATACAACATCACTTGAAAACATGCAACATTTCTAAATTTTTGAAACAATACATGGAAAAGGACAAAAGAATCAACTAGGGGGAAAATTTAATTTGTTTTAAATGGATCTTTGTCATATTGGAAAAACAACAACTTTGTGTTCCATAGTTCTAGGGATGGCAACGGCCGGCCCTAACAGGGCCAAAAAGGTCTTGGTCCAAGCCCTATGGGTCGGGCCAAATAATAAAAACAAAAAAGGACAAAAACAAAAGAAAAAAATAACAAAAAAGAGGGCAGGGCTGGCTTTTGCCTAAGCCCGGCTCAACTCTACCCTCGGGCCGTGGTTCCCCAGCCTTAGTCCAGTCCTCGAACCACATTTTGTGGCGGACGCCCTAGTTTTTTCTGGTTAGGCCAGCTGGCCCATTGCCACCCCTACATAATTCTATCATGCATGGAAAGAAGTACCATTACTCATATGTGATGCGCTTAGAGATAACATGGGTTAAGAATAAATTATGAAGTCAAAGGATTATGTGCTCCCGCTGGAGCAAATAAAAAAATGGATTTTCTTTTTTAAACTTAAATTGTTGTAACCTGACCAAACTGATTTGTCAACTGCTAAGCTGATGACTAAGGCACTCTCTCTCGTGAATACATCATCCATTCGCTCCCTTTGTAGACCCTATGTACCAGCATTTTTAGGGCCCCAACTACTAGATATATAATCTCGTGACGAACATAAAATAAAATAAATAAAACAGAAAAATATATAAAAAAATCAAATGCACTATGTCAGATAACAAAAAAGCATTCTAAAACTGAAGAGAGGTCAGTTTTTGAAGGGTCAGATATAAGTATTCAGGATTTCAAAATTTAATTTGTAAGTAGAAATACTCATCTTCTAAAGTGGGTAGAAAATGTAGGATAAAAAAAATAGGAAAATGGTTTTATCAAAATAAGTAAATCCTCACCTCATAACTCATTGAAAATGGCAAGTCAAGCATTGGAAAACATGTACATCGATCATCTTAACTTGAACATTATGGTTGTGAAAAAAAATTAGGATTTCAAGCTCTAAAAATAGTGTATACCATAACAAATTATCTAGACCATCAATTTTGCCTTCAAAAAAAAGTTTTTACATATCCGCAAGATTTCTACCATTTTTTGAGTTTTACGTTTTATTGTCGGCGTTAGAAATTGATTTTAGAACCATCATAGAGAGTGCTATTGCCAAAAGCACTTTTCAAATGAGGATTTGAGGTGAGGCTTTATTTTGTTTTCATAAAGCATAGGCCTTATAGAAACCTCATAAAAAAAAAAAGAAAAAAGAGAAAAAGAAATCATCTATGTGGTCCTACAGGAATAGGCCATAGGCGTTTTGGAAGAATTTCAGCATAGATTTTATATAAGGCGTGGATATTTAAGATAAGACATAGTGCATCTAATTCAGTCTTAAAATGAGTCATGGAAAAGAAACAAAAACAATAAATTGTAATCAAGTAATGAAGAGAATGCAAAAATTAAATAACTTCCATTAGCTACTTTAACGAAATTTGCATCTTGAATTCAAAGTATTATGCTTCCTTTGGGTGCATTTCTCATAATTGATAAGAAATCTCTCGATAACAATACCATACCTCATAAAAACCCCCTTTTGAATCTTCAGATTAATCAATAAACCTTAGAATATCAAGAGAAAAAGGCAATGAGTAACCCTTTGGAATAGCAAGGTCTAACTATTGGCTGGCCTTTTTGCGTAGACCCTCATGTTACTTGTATTATGCGCTTATGAGCTTAGATGTCCAAACCAATGGATCTTTCTCCTTTTAATAAAAGGTGTGGTTTGTATAGAGCCTAGAGCGTACCTTCAAATAGTGTCAAGAAATGTAGTTTTAATATTGAAAATCTTTGTGATAGCTTTAAAATATATTTTTATAGTTATTTATAAAGTTTAAAGCTTCAAAAACATTGTAGATTTATATAGAAATCTCTTCAAAAATTGAAAATATACTTTCACTTAAAGTATTTTGAAGTAATTTTAAGGTATTTTGGACAGTCAATTTTCATCTTAAAAATCTTTTCTAGTGAAAATTTTAAGGTAGGCTCTGATTTGATTGTTTAGAGCCTCAACTCTATATAAACTTTTCCCTTTAATTAATGGTGAGGTTTGGAGTCAACCTTAAACAATTAAATAATTAATGTCTTCAAACTTTATTGAAAGATGCATTTTTCAGTATCATAATTTCCTATGATGGTATGAAAATATAGTTTAAAGTTTAAAATATTGTCCAATATACAATGAGACCATTCATCTTTGATGCAAGGTGGTCACAATTACTTATAGCTATCCGATGTGAGATTTGATAGCTTGAATGTGTCACAAAGTTTGAGAAAATTTCTTTTGAAGTTTATGCTTGGTAAATGGAATCATTGCAACTACCCAATTTCAGATCCAATGGTCAAGATTAATGTGTTCACCTTGTACTAAATGTAAATAGTCTCATTCTATACTTTTCCTATTTATAAACATTTGAGATTCCGAAACTGGATAGTTTACAAGATGCACTATTGTAGGACATGAAATCATTTTTTTCTCATATTTCATTTATCTCGACCCGTCAAATCCAGATATTGGATCCATTCTCGGATCCAGATAAGATCTGAAATTCACATTTTAGATCCAATCCAGGTAAATTCTCAACCCTATCCAATGGTAGAATTTATTTAAAAATTAGAATTGGGTGCTGACTCGAGGGCTTGGTGAGGGAGTCAACTGGCTAAAAAGAGAAAAATCATTAAAATCAAACAAGGGAATATTGTAAACTCATTGCTACTTAACTAAAATATGATAATTAGCTAGCAACCATTCAAAAATGAACATCGATTCTAAGCAACTCAGGCAATTTTGATACAGCTTGTTGATTTTCATCAACCAATGAGAATAATATATCCATATTACGCTTTAGCATCCATGAAACTCTTATGTATGACGTCACCTACATCTAGCTGCTATCCCCGACCCTCATCTTTATCATTATCTGTTGAGCCTTTTCCTACCATTTGGAGTCGGCTACTTGAATCTTGATTCACAATTCTGCTCTATCAAGGGCATACCCTTAATGAGGCTTACGAGGAATGCCCCAGCACAAGCAAATAACATAGATACTGGATTCATGAAAAGTTTTGGCAAAATTTTATGTTGGCTTGAAACGGGTTAAGGGAAAAATTAAGGTACTCACTCTTCTCAAACCAATTGCTATTCTCAGCCATTTAATTAAAATGGTACTTCCATCTGTCTAATTTGAATGGATAGTTGGGATAACTTCGTTCATAATATCACACCAACACCATTTTATTTTTAACTTTTTATATAACTCAAATTGACATCAAATTTAGGGCTTGCCTAAAGATGCGCCTAATAAAAATAGAAAAGGATTTCTTATAAAATAAAATTATCACAATAGCCTTGAAAATATTTGTTAAATAAAAAAAACAACTAAAATACTCTGAGCTGTCTGATCAATATCAAACACTCAAATGCTAAGAGGTGACATTCTAACTCAAGCTCTCCCAATTGCCCATTCGGATCAACGACTGAGAATCACATGTGGTTAACCCTTAGCATAGGAAACCTCTATATGTTCTAATTTTAATGTATAGGAATTATCTTGAAAAACAAATTTTTTTTTTTGATAAAATAAAATGACCAAAATTAAGTAAAGGAGACGAATCACAATTAAGAGGTTATGTAAATAGCAAATTTCCTATTTTCTTCATTGAGAGAGACAAGAGGAAAAGTGTTCAAAGAAAAAATTTATATAAAGTGTCAACCTTATACGTACAAGTAATGTGCACCCAAAACATCCACTTATAAGGTGTTTTATATACCCCAAATCGATCAACTCGACCTCGAGATTCATAGATATGAAAAAAAAGGAGATAATTTTAGTCCTAAAAATAGTTCATTTTCTAACAAATTATTTGGGCCGTCTATTTTCAAGATTTTCAAGTGCTCATAGATCTACTTGATTGTCACCATTGCTAAAACTTGAAATTTCATAATTGGGTGTAGCAATAAATTTTCATATCATCACAACACCTTACATTGCAGCAATTACATTTTCGGCATAGGTTTGCGGTAGACCTTACTTCAATAGTATAAAGCTGATACCTTAGTTCAATAGTATACAAACCTCATAAACAAAAAAGGAAGTGGAAGCAAAGAGCAATGATCTAATGCAACGGTTGTATCATAGTATAATGCAATGAAACTTCTAGAAAATCATGTTTGTGGTATTTGTATGACTTCAAATTTAAACACACACTCTCTTCATCTCAATAATCAATCTCCAAAATAAAAAAAAGTTCAATTTGAACCCTAGATATAGTAAAAATGAGCCATCTCCAAAAACGAATCTAGACCATTCATTTTGTGACTTTCAAAATCTTAGCTTTTATAAACTCAACATCATTTTTATATTTTTTAACATTGTTCATCTAATGATAATAAAGCCATCCAAAAAAATTGGAAATGAAAAAATTCTTTTAAGGCTTAAATCTAAATATCTCACCAAAATGAACCATCTATGCTAATTGGGCTAAAAATTACTTTCTAAATTGTGTTTTCAAATTTTTCCTTTTTATAATTGTTCATTAAAATAAATTTTTTTGTTTTGGCATAAGATAATTTTTGAAGGTTATTACAACATATATTACCATACCACGGTTGCGTGAAATCATAGTTCGGAAGTAAAAGTCGCTATGCGTTTTGAAAGGAAAAGAAAGAGAATAATAAAAAGAAGAATTAGAGAGAGAGAGAGAGGGAATAGAATACAGAAAAGGTAGCGCTTTCTCAATCTACATGTAGATTCTTGTTCCTTTTCATCCACCAAATCGCAATATCCATTCGCTCTCTCTCTCTAGAACCACCCCTCTCTCACTCAAGAACCGGAAAAGCCTCGCACTCATCTCTCTATCCTCTTTCTCTTCAGAACCGGAAAACTCTCTCTCTAAAATCGGAAAAGCCTCGCCCTCATCTCTCTATCCTCTCTTTCTCTCTCTAAAATAAAAAAAAGCCTCACTCTTATCTCTCTATCCTCTCTTTCTCTCTATAAAACCGGCATACTCTCTATAGAACCGGAAAAGCCTCACCCTCATCTCTCTATCCTCTCTTTCTCTATCTAAAATCAGAAGAGCCTTGCCCTCATCTCTCTATTCTCTTTTTCTCTGTCTAGAACCGGAATAACACCGCCTACATCTCTCTATCCTCTCTCTCTGGAACCGGAAAAGCACTGCCCACATCTCTCTATCTCCTCTTTCTCTCTCTAAAACCGGAAAGGCCTTTCACTCATCTCTCCACCCTCTTTCTCTCTCTAGAACCGGAACGGCCTCGCCCTCATTAATGCACCCTCGTCTCGTTCATTATCCTACCCCTGTAAGACCCAGCACTACTCTCCCCTATAAATACCACCTGTCATCTCCTCACAAAGACACGTGTCGGACTGCCTCCCTTGCCCCACCTCACCGTATATTTATACGGCCCCCCTATGTATACGTGGCTACTCTATATATTTATAATATATGTTTTCAGAGCAATGGTTAAACGGTTTCTTCGTCTCTGTTCTATTGTTTAGATCTCAGATCATGGCTTGAGCTTTGTCGAATTGATTTGATCTGATTATTTTATTGTTATTTAGGGTTTGGATTCATGGTGGCTATGGATTTTAGGGTTTTCTAGCTGTGCTATGAAGGGATGTGTTGGATCCCTTGTGTGAATTCATTGAGATTTGATGCTTTGAGAGGGAATTGCAGCTGGTTCGTTCTTTTTGCGGGCGATGGCGCCTTCTCCCGTTATCGTATTCTTCTGGCTTTTGATGGTGTCAGCTGTGGGATGGGTGGTTTTCATGTGAGTAATCTTGCTCGATCTTCAGTTTTGGTTGAAAAATTTTCAGTTTTGATTGAAAATTAGGTTAATTGTTGCTCCATTCTTTTGCGTTTCTCCTTTGTTTTTGCTGCATTACTCTGAAATGCGCTTTTTAGTGCTATATGAGCGTCTGGTAGATTAATGAAATTTTGGCTTGGTTGAATTTGATTGGGAATTTGGCCCATTTTGCAGTGTTTGAGTGCTCTCTCTACCTCTATCTCACTTTTCAGATTTTTTCTGCAATAATCTGAAATTTTTTAGTTGTAATGTCTTATGTATGCCTTTTCTAGTGTGCACAAGCCTACACGTTTCATGTTGCATTTAGGATGAATATCGGTGTCTTCATTATCCAACAATTTTGACAAAATTGACTTTTGAGTAATTCTGAATGACTTTTGAGTAATTCTGAAATGAATTCATGCAATCTCGAATCATGCATTTTGATTAAATATTGGGATGCTTCTTTGGTTTATGCTTCATTGTGTTGTTAATCTGAATCACGAGAATTGTGGTTCTTGTATGTTAATATTAAGCGGTTTGGTTCAAATTAATGGGTAAAGGAACAATTTTGTCACTAGTTCTTGTTCATAGATTGAATATATTTCAGTTAAAGGACCCTAGATCTGTCATGGATTGTGGAGCAATTGGCATTGAATGGGTTTTCTGCATATGATAGATTGGAAGTTAAGCTAGAAGATCACATGTTCAGCATAATCATGATGTGTTTGATAATCAACTTTTTTAGAGTGATCGTTTAAAGAGAAGATAGATCACTGTGTATGAGCGATAGTTACGGTTCATATGTAAGAAACATGATATCTTATAGGTCTATGAAATTTCTCTAACAGAGGGATTCTTTTTTATTTCAATTGTCACGGATATCACCAGGAAGATCAATCGAACAAATTCAACAAGTTGCATCCCTAGTCAATGTATCCACGGGGGTTCTGTTAACTTATGTTCCATTGTTGTTGGGGTTGTGACATGTTGCTTTTGGGGTTGTTAACATGAGAAAAAACTTCAATGGTGTTCTTTTATGGGATTGCTTTTTTGAGCAAAAATTTGATCCAAAGAAATTTATATCATAAACTAGTTAAGTAGCTAGTACAGTCCCATGTTCACTATTCTGCTATTGTACTATAATATAGAATGCTAACCTTTTCAATGTGTAGACTTTCCAAGATGCTTATAGACCCTCAAAAGTTATTATACTCATCTCCCATTGTCTTAAAGAGGAAAAGGGATGTGCCTGTATGGGTTTAATTTATGGCTCGTTTGGCTCCATGCATATGCAAACCCAGTTTTTGATTCATATCCTGATCATGCAAAATCCTGGTTATGCAAAATCCTGGTTATGCAAACCATGGTTATTAGGTTAATGCTGTTTGGATAGCTTTTAGATCGAACCCATGATATGCAGATCCCCTATTTGGGTCATTTGATTATAGAACCTGGGTATGCAGTTTCCTTCTATTTCAGGCTAAAAAGGTTTCGCAGTTTGTAAAAGCACGATTTAGCGACACTTGAAAAACAATATCCAGGGATTCACCACATTTGTAATTATTTAGGGAAACAAAAGAGCTGTAAAGGAATTTGCAGTAAGCTATTGAACATTAATTATTACACACAAAAAAAGAAAGACAATAGACAATCTCTGATTTGCATGTTCTATTAAACAGAAAAAGAAAAAAATTAAACATGTTCTATTAAACAAAACTCTATTTCTTTTATGGTAAGTGAAATAATAGAAACCTGTATAATGTTTCAAATCTGTTATTTGCTAGCAAAAAAAACTGAAAATGGTGGAGATTGATTCAGAATCATTTACATAAATGTGGATGATTCCTTAAAAAAAGAAAGAAAGGAAAAATATAATTCAAAACCCAAACCCAACAAAGTTTTTTCATTTATTATTTATTATTATTAGTATTATTATTTTTTTAAGGAAAAAGAAACAAATCTGCAGGGGTTTTATAGGAAAAGAAGATTAACAGCAAAAAAAGTAAAAAAAAAGGAAAAAAGAGAGAGGTCTTTTTGCATTTGCAAGACAGAGGATAACAGTAAAAAGAAAAAGGAAATGCAAGAGAGAGGATAACAGTTGAATAAAAAAAAAGGGAAAAGGGGGCTTTTCACATACCTGCAAAAATGGAGTACAAATATGAGTAAAAAGTCGTGAGGTTCGAGATTGAATGACGATATCTAGCAGAAAAGGGGAAAATAAAAACAGAGTTTGATCGACGATTGGGGAAGTTCTCCTCGTCTAGGTGCAAAGAGAAGGTGGTTCAAGGAGGTTGAATGGTGCTTGAATGGAGGAGAGATGGAAGAGAGGATGTAGCAGTGTAGTGAGAGAGAGATGGAAGGAACGGGCACCCCAATGTCTATTTGCCTTGCATGTCCAAAAACATGGGATGCAAATGATGTTTAAGATTTAGCAAAGCTATTATGTGACCTTTTTTTGGTAAACAAATAACCTGCTTTTGAGGCGAAAAATTATGCCAATCAAGATTCACTGTCTGATGTTGTGGGTTGCAAAACATGAGTTTGAACGGTCCAAACGAGTAAATGACTCATTAGAGAAGCGTATTCTCGCTAAAACTAACTTATGTGCTCCTAATTAATGAATGGTTTGTTAAAGCTCTAGTTCATGATATGAAAAAAAATCTAATATGTTTTCCCAAAGTTGGAGTGGAATGTAAAATTGAGATGTAATTCCATTTATTTGTCAAATCTTAATAATATAGTGTTTTGAGTCCATTCTTTTCTTTTTCCACTTTAGATGAGAACAAGATCCAAATGATGCCTCAACATTGCGCAATACATAGCCATACCCGACTCGATATTATACCAATTATACCCAACGGTCTAATTCATGTTGAAAACCTAAAAAAACAGCAGTTGGCATATACCTATGTTTGCTATAACTGATACTCGATGTCATTCTTCATGTCCAACTCCAATTAATTGATTCTAGTTCCTTGCATACTAACTATGAGAATAGAAAATAAGTTGCAAATGCAGGTCCTCCTTGACCTCCTCTCTATGTGGGATTGTATAAGTTGCAAATGCATGTCCTCCTCGACCTCCTCTCTATGTGGGATTGTTGGGAATTTTTGCTGCTATTTGTTGCTAAAAATACAATTCTCGTAGCGTGGTGGGATCATTGCCTTTGAAATAGATACTTCATTTGTAAATCCTAATTTGATACCACCTCATTCTCAATTCCCGTTCTTGTAGACACTTATTGAGTTTAGTAATTGAGATTTGCTTAGTGAAATTGAAGTTTTCTATGAGATTCTGATCCAAATCGCATCAAAGAAATTCGAGTTACTGGCTAGAATATTTGCACTTTTTTTTATGATTTTCTGTTTGGAGAATTTCCAGGTCCATGGGTGATTTGTTTATTAGTTTTCATTTTTTAGGGTTGTTTTAAGGGATTTCTATGTAGGGGTTAAAGGGATATTTAATTTAGAGCTATAGGCAGTAAAGTTGCTATTTTCATGGGGTGACTTGTTTACCATAATGGGATATTAGGACATGGCAAGAGCTTATGGGATGTAGATAAGTTACATGGTTAGAATTGGATGGGAGAGATTTATGTGGGATAAGGTAACTATCCTAGTTTAATGGGATTTATGGGTCTCATGAAGGGATTTATGGGAGTCCTAGTTTTTGGGAGTTACATGACTTAGAGAGATGATGGTGAGCGTTGGAGTTACAAGACTTGGAGAGATAAGGGTGAACTCCTATTTTTAAGGGGCTCACGTAATGAGGAGAGAGAGAGAGAGAGAGAGAGAGAGAGAGAGAGAGAAGGTGGGAGAGTAGTTATTTGAGAGGGAGATATGTGGAGGGG